GAATGCAGCAAAAATATTTAAAGGACATGATAGAAAAGAGAAAAGAGCTCAAAATTTTGGAGGACATGGGAGAGAGCTTGTGTGTATAAGATAGAGAGAGAGAGAGACATAATAGTTTGGAGAGAGAATGGACCCTAAATATTTAAAAGGCATGTGAGAGATAGTTCACGTATATGTAAGAGATCATAAAAGGAGACATTTTAGCCCCACATTGTTAGGTAGTACAATGGGGTTGGGTGGATGAGGCTATAATAAGGAGAATGGTTCTTAGAGTTTTGATGTAGGAGAAATTGAGGGAACAATAAAATTAGCAAGAAACAAGCCAAACACAAACACATTTGGAAAAACCCTAGGACCCAAGCCCTTGGCTTCTTTTACAAGACAGTCTTTTTTTTTCTTAAAGAGGAATACATGAATGACTCTTCAGCCCATCCATGCTCTTATTTCTATTGAAAAATTATTGTTTTGTATAATATTTGACTATACAATTTACTTTTAATCAAAAGGTCCTGACTTAATTATAACTTGAAACTAAACTCCCAAACTTTAATTAAATATCTAAAAAGTCCCTAGAATTCTAGAAACTAAAAAACCCTAGAATTAAACCCTAAAACTACAATCAAAATATACATCTTTTAAAATTGAATAGAAATTAAAAATAGGTATAATTTTTCCCTCCATCAAGTTTTAGTCCCACATTGCTCATGTAGTGAAATTGGGTAGGTGGGTGAATCTATAAGAGAATAGTAGTTAGAGAGAGTGTCTAAAATTAAAAGTTATAGTATTATTTTATATTTTATTACATAAAAATATTATATAAAATATAACATATGGCATAATGTATAATAAATAATACAATATAAGACGGATCGGGTCCAGGTTGGGTCTACCTGTACCTGGACCTGGACCCAATCGGATTTACTATTCAGGTCCACGATTTGGACTCGACCCGACCTGTCAGGTCCAAATCTTGGACCCATGCCCGGACTAGGATCGAGTACCCGACCCGATTCCCAGCCCTAATGATGGGGATCAATGTCCGTAGAACCTCAAACAGAAGAAACACGATCCATGTGTATTAGGGATCAATTCTCAATTAGTTAAGATCGAGTACTATAATATTTGGAAGCGAGATCCTCTAATTAAGATCCAAAGTTCCCAAGTGCAAGTTTGTGAATTCCTCAACAATAGGAGTGCAATAGGTTTTAATGATCCAACATAATATGGAGCGAGGGATGAATTTTATAGGACCAAGCTCCATTTAGTTGAAAAAGGAGGCCAAAAATTTTATTAAATAAATTATGACTTTTATAGGTTGTGTAGTTTGGGTTGGCATATTTTTCGTTGTAGTAGGAACAAGTTATGTTTAATAAAGTATAGCCCAAACCTATATATACATGAAATGAGTTGCTTCTTAGTATTGTTTATTAAATAAGGGATTGCCCATCAGCATGGGAGGATGGAGCATTCGTTATGGAGAATTGTGGGGGATTATTTTTGTAGTGTGTAAAACTCTAAATTGTCATAAAATATTCTTCTTAAGGAAACATATTGCCTTTATGGAAGCACTAACACATAAATAGTATTGTAATGATTAACGAGGTTACAATGTAATAGAATTTGGATGCAGTATTTGGAGATCCTTGTGTTACAGTGTAATAGAATCTGGATCCCACAACTCTTAGGACAGAGAACCCGACCATTTAAGTCCTAGAAGCCGGGAACTCCAAAACGTGAATAATAGAACTTGTTCCGTTGAAAAGAGAACGAGATCCTAAATTCCAGAAAAATGAGATCACTGGAAGATTCCTTTCCAGGATCTTAGGATAGAGATCCCGAAAGGGACCACCTACCAAAGTAGGCGATCCCTGTAACTATGGTACAAGGAAGAATTGGTACTCTGCTCTGGCCTTGGTAGGCTGCCAAGGCTGAGCAATTCGCCCAAGTGGCGAAGTCTGAGTCGACTCTGGCGAGTTTTTGAACACTTATGCTAATAAAAGAAAAATTGATAGTTCCAATCTTAACACTTGATCATAGATATTTTGTGAAATATAGTATACATATATTTTCTGTAGAAAAGTGTGTACACTGTGCACTGCCCATTCTCCTCGTGACTAATATCTTTGCAAACGTTAAGATTTTTCACTTTCGGATTTGGTGTTTAGAGCCTTCAAGTACTCCAACGTTTTACTTCTGAAATTTCTGAGTGAGCACAATTTGTCATACACCATTGAATTGTATTTCCGTAATGATTAATGAAATGCTGAAATGAAGTTTAACTATTGTTAAAACTATACTTTTTAACCATTCAAGACAAAGCGACAGATGTACCTCAGTTACATATGCCACTTCATGATTGATGCCCAAGGCTGCATTGGGAAAGAGTCTGTAATGCATCCCGCTCAATTATCCTAAAGCAGTCAATGGGGGAAGGTTTGCCTACACCTTTTTTAATGTAGATCAGACATTCGAAACATTGCCCATGAGTCCCCCAGTGAAATAGCTCTGGAGGCAACCCCAACCCAATTTTTTCCTAGTGTACATCTAGCAATGGAGTTCTGTACTCATTGCATTAGTAGCTTTAATGTGGGGCGACTCGACCAAGCCTAATTTTACCGTTCTTGATAGCCAATAGGCATTATTCATATTGTTTAGGAAATAGGAATAACACCTGAATAGATATGTGATTTATAATTTCTAGTTCCTCTTCTATATTTTTTTGGTTAGAGTCGTACTGCTGATGTTGTCGCCACCCCAAGAAATAATAGACTCCTTGGGTACATAAATGGAAGACCTGGTGTCAATTTTACAATTGTACTACAAGACAAATGTGACATCTTTTGCAATTCTTGGAACGTGCATCCCTCTCACTTCAGCTACTTTAGCCCAGTTTTCAAGAGTTATGAGAGCCTGTATGAAGTATATAATACATACACAAATGTGCATAAATAGTCCATGTTTTTAGATAAGTGTTGAAAGGCTGCACGGAAAAAATTGATAGACAGATTACATATCATATTTTATGTATTTTAGTACAACTTGATGTATACTTCTCATTAATACAAATTTAACTAGAAAAGGGAAAAACCCTAATGGATAGAATGGAGGATAGAGACATAACAAGCAATGTTAAAGGGAACATTCTTAGTGGTTAATCAAATATAATAAAATTGATTGCTCATCAGAATTCTTTAAGTGGAAATTTTCATGGATTCATTCTTAAAAAGGAAGCATGAATGGATACCACTGTCACAAAGCAATAGAATTCAACAATCTAGTCTATTAATAAGTCTAACCTTGAGTGTTTTCCATCGCAATATAAATATCCTCAAAACATAGATATTCGCAAGAACAAAACCCTCTGACATTCAGCAAAAAACAATAACATGAAATGCTAAAATACACTGTACATAATATTACTACAAATTATATCTATATACGATACACAGAAACAAATTAATGTCATGTGCAATCATAACTAAAAAGATCATTAGCAAACCAACTGGGATCTCTTGACATTTTTAACATCTATTATTTCCATTCGTAGTGCACGTGCATTATGTTTCATTCCATTAAACAAGGGTACTCATGTAAATGTACAAACAGCATAGTGCCCAAGGGTATTATGGTCATACACCATGGTACATTTATTTCATGAGAAGACAGCTTCGAAAGGAATATAACCCATTTCTCTCAAACTTGTGTTGACCTCCTTTCGTTGGCCACCTACTCTCACTATCATTGATGATTTCAGTCTCTGAAATGGTATAAAAGCCATGCAACTTCAGTCAATGAGGAATTGCTTATTTGAGGAAGGCTTGAAAGAGAATCAATTACACTAACACGTTCTTGTGGACAATCTTGTCTATTTAACCTAAATATGAAGAGGTTCTTCACAGTAAATCAAGAGAAACTACATTCATGGGAGTTATCTTTGTACATCTAAAGGTACAGTAAAGTTGCCCGCCGTAGTTTTAAAATTTTGCAAGATAATTACCATTGAAGGGTTCAATGATATGTCCCCAGTCTGATATTTCACACCCTTAACTTAGAAACATGTTGGAATGCATATCAGATCAAAACAAGGTTGTAGAAAGGAGTACCAGTGAAGGCATCATGGAGCAGGTATTTTTTAAACCAAGGACATGCTTCTTAAGTAGGAGATTGCCAAACTTAAGGAGAAAATTTTAAACTAACTCAGTTATTTTTGGAAACCCAAAAATCTGGATTACAAAATATTTCTAAGGGGCAGGCATAATTATGGAATATAAAACAATGAGCTCAAGTGGAATCTTGAAAATGAATTTCAAACATAAAGATGACTTATTGTTTGCACATAAAGCAAGTCTTATAAGGACTAGAGGTATTTTGAGCTTCTAAATAAGTAAAATATATGATTAAAAATACAGGCTCTAAAGTGATGAAATCTTATAGAATAATAGAACTTTTATTGTTCTTGAGAGAAAATATTTTTTATTAAAAGAGATTTTTTGGAGGTTGGCCATGTCTAGGTTTCATTTAAAATCACACAGATATCTAAGGCACCTTGAATATAAGGTGCTTTATCTTCTCTAAAAGAAGAAGGTTCTCCCAATTGTTGGTTGTATCTCACTCAGGATTGTAGCACTTGGTCAAGCTGTGACAAAGTTTTGATATTTTGCATTGAATATTGGTTCTTTTTCTAGCAAAATCTTGTACTTACAGTAAGTGCTCTGAATGGAAATAATTGTCCCCATGGAGTCAACCCTCCATCACCATAAAAAGATGTGCTCTTTGGGCATTTCACCACTAAAATTCTTTCGTTGGCAGAGTTTTATGGTGACACATCAATGGATGCATTCTGAAACTCATTGTTGAAATAGAAATTGACAGCACTATCATCTTTGGCTTTTAAATTGATTTATTGGGGTGCATGAGCAATATAGTGGGGAAAATAAATCTATTTAATAGGTTGAAATAAAACATTATACCCTCTTACTTGCGATGGTCAAGATACAAACCTTGCATTCATCTTCTTTGGACAAGCTATGCATAGTCATAAGAGCTTTGATTCTTAGATGTGATCCTATATTCTTTGAAGCGCTCTTCAGCAACGCAATGATGAGGTGAATGATTCCTCCCTTTCTTAGTCTATATCGGCTTAATGGATGCTCTTCTGATGTTCGATAAATATTATTCAGGGTCCTTTCAATACACTCCACTGTAGACTCCTCACTCAGATTTTCAGTCGCTGATTGAATTTGAATTTCAACATTCCTATTGACCCATTCCTCAATTGCCCCTGCAAGACCAATATTTGGCTTTTGATCCAAACTCTTTAAGACCTTTCCAGTTACTGGGCAGGTTGGGTCTCGACCATCTTCTACACAAAGGTCAAACCAGTATCTAATAGCACTGCGCTCATAAGTTTGGGAGGATTCAAGAACAACTGGGTCCTTCATAACTTCCTTGGTCAATGGGCAGAGGAAGTTCTTAAATGGTGGTATATGGCCTTCCTCTTCAAATTCAAGTTCGAGACTTTCAGATACAGTCTTGGGTTCAATTGACCAGTTACCAAACATCCTTTCTAGTGATACAAGAATACGCCTCTCATTTCCAGTCATGGAATCACCAAGGTCGGTTTTAAAGATCTGGATGTGTTCGGCTAACTCATGGTGGTTCTCAGGCCCTGTTCCCAAGGCTCGAGCCAGATCCATAAGGATAGCACTTTGCACTGCTTTTGTAGTTTGCCGACCTTGAGCCTCTTTCTGTAGAATATAATACACCCTCTCTTCATTGTCGGTGACCTGTTCAAAACATGGAGGAAAGTCTCAGAGTTAAGGAAACCACGAGACAAAAGCATCCTAAGTTACTGGAAAACAATACACCAGAACAAACACTCCGGTTTATAGCACATCTATGAACAAGTGTTATAGACTTTGGCACTGATATTTATGTTGAAGTCCAAAAGATGAACAAGCATTACTATAGAGGTGCAGTTGATTCAATAATATAAGCGTGAGAAAAGAGGCAGTGTAATAACAAAATGATGCATACAGATTAACATGCGCACAGTTATTAACCATTCCCCAAAGAAACATCCCAAACCTCAAAAACAAAAGAAACATCTGAATTCTCAATAACCAAAGAGAAACACAGTGAGTTACTAGACAGGTCGATCTTCGAATGCATTCGTGAACAATTAATCTGAGATGGTGGGTCTAGTAACTTTTGATTCATTTACTCTTTTGGACTAATCAACCACTGGAAAACACTCTATCCACAGGTTAGAATACTTGTTGAATCTCTCAGAGAGTCTGCTGACCCCAAAAGTTCCCCAAATCAGAATTCAACAAATTAACATAAAATTATGCTTCCCAAAATTGCATATCTGCATGTTACGAATAAATCTCGGAATAGTTCATTGGACTAAATAATCTAACGACTACCGTTTTCATTAAGTATCTGTTCAGTTCATTCTACTAAAGAAATTGCTGTGGTGATTTAATTTCTTTCTTGATAATTCCTTTACTCGCAAACACTGCAAGTGCTTTTCCCAAATTTAGAAACTATTAAGCTTCCAACCCGCACTTATGAAATTTTGCCATAAGACACCACAAATGTACCCCATAAAATGGAATTCCATGAAAAAGGAAAAAAAAGGAAGATACGGAAAAGGAAATAAAAGAGAATCATTAGAAAACCACAGTAAGAAGAAGCAGCATTTATCTAGTACTGACACACCAAATCTCAATATAACTCCAAAATGAAAAAACCCCATTTAGTTCCAGTTGCAAAACGAAAACACAAAATGAGAAAAAGAAAGAAAGAAGCAGAATTCACCTTAAATTGGGCTTGTTGCATTTCCTCTGATAAGTCATGGGTCTTCTTCTTCAGGTCAGTTCCAGACCCACAAGAAGCTTCAATCAAGGTCAACCAAGCACCAATACTCCTACACCTCTCTTGCAAAGCAAGACAGAGATCCAAACAATTTACAAGCACATAAATCTTCCCCTTTCCCCTATAGGCAGCAAAAGATTTGCATGCTTTAGAGAGGTCCTCTGAGATCCCCTTAAGAGCATTTTGAAATGATGGAATCGGATCAATCTGAGACTTTTGGAGCTGTTTCACAATCAATTCGAGGCGCTTTGAATATGAGCAAAAGCATAGAGGACATTCCCATGCATAGTTAAAGCTACAGATTTCAGACAAAGAGGCCTCTATGGATGCCATGATTGAAGGAATTGCAGAGGTAGAAAGCATTTTCCAGGATAAATGGCCGGCATCAAAGGGGGGGAGGAGGGGGCTAGAGAGAGAGAGAGAGAGGTTGCTAGTTTTAGAGGTGGTGGAGGTTGCTGATTCTGTTCTCACTGGTATTACGAGAAAGAGGTAGAGAGAGAGAAAGAGGTAGAGAGAGAGAAGAGGGGGGTTTATCAGAGAAATAGTCGCTTCTGTTCTCAATTACTGATGAGAGAGAGAGAGCCAGGGATGGAGGAGAGGGAAAGGTTGCAACTTCTGGTGCTACTTCTGGCAAGCGACCCAGAGAGAGAGAGATTGTGGCCTTTGTCGTTACTGATCTTTAGAGAGATAATCTCACTGGTCTTTAGAGAGAGATTGCGGCCCTGGTCTTTAGAGAGAGAATCTCACTGGTCTTTAGAGAGAGATTGCGGCACTGGTCTTTAGAGTAAGAATCTCACTGGTAGTTAGAGAGAGATTGCGGCCCTTTGTCGTCACTGGTATTTAGAGAGAGAATCTCACTGGTCTTTAGAGAGAGATTGTGGCACTGATCTTTAGAGTAAGAATCTCACTGGTAGTTAGAGAGAGATTGCGGCCCTTGTCGTCACTAATCTTTAGAGAGAGAAACTCACTGGTCTTTAGAGAGAGAAGCAATTAATTTCGCGGTCAGCGATCTTCAAATAGCGAGAGAGAGAGCAGCTTCAGAAAGAGAAAGGGAGATTGCCTGTCTGCATCCTCACACAAAAGAAAGAGAGGTTGCTGAATTTGTCTCGACTGGCTTTTTAGAGAGAGAAAGTCGCCGTTTTTGTCTCCACTGCTTCACAGAGAGAGAGAGAGAGAGCTGATGCCTCTACTCAACAGAGAGAGAGAGAGAGAGGGGGTGGGAGGTCACCGCATTTGTTGTCGCCGGTCTTCAAGGAGAAATGGAGTTAGAGAGAGAAAGAGATGGCGCTGCTCCCTGTACACAAGAGAGAGAGAGAGAGAGGTCGCTGCACTTGTTCTCCGCCGCTCTTCAGGGAGAAATGATAGAGAGAGAGAAAAAAAATGGAGTTAGAGAGAGAGAGATGCTGACTTAGAGAGAGAGAGAGAGAGAGAGAGCGAGAGCG